TGTGTGTGCGTGTGTGTGTGTGTGCGTGTGTGTGTGCGTGTGTGCGTGCGTGCGCGCGTGCGCGCGCGTGTGCGCGCGCGCGCGTGCGTGTGTGTGCGCGAAGCGCCCAGGTCAAGCAGGGGGCGCAGGGGGGGGCAAACCACTCCCGATGAGGAGAATGAGGGTTGAAAGGGGAAACACCCTAAACCACCTGCGCCCAGAGGGCTGGTGAGATTTCACCTTCGGCCGCGCCTGGCCGAGAGCTTGCCACGGGCGCCGTGGCTGCGCCAACTGGGCCCGGAATTCAGCGCGATACCGATGGGGGGCGCACGCGCATGTGTCCCCCATCGGTATCATGGCTGGGAGATGCTGCACTGTTTCGCGTCGCCCCCTTTCAAGCATCGGCGCCCCGCCCGCCCCAGATGCCCCCTTGACGTCGTACTCTGTCCTTCTGGCAACGTCGGTTCCCCATCTCTCTTGTTCTCTCTCACTCCTTCTCTCTCCCTATTGCTCTCTCATCTCCCCCCCTGCCCCTCTCCGCCCGTTCCTTCTGCGCCCCGCCTCGGCCCGATCTCTCATCTTGCCCACCCCCGTCGACGCCGCCCGTTCGCGGCCGCTCCTTGCAGGCCGGCCCGAACCTGATTAACGCCGGCAAACTGACAACGTACCTCGCATTCTTCGGCTGGGCAAGTTTTAAGCCGCTTGCTCTTTTTACCGCTCGCTCTCTGTCTGCTGCTCGTATGCACATCGGTGCTTCCAAGAGGGGCGCGTCGCGTTCTCTTTCTGCTTCGGGCCCCCGCGCCCCCCCCAGCGACGTTAGGCCCGCGTGTTTCAAACCGTGCTCGGGCGGGCGCAGATGGAAAGGCTGCCGCGGGATGGAAGACCAGAGCTTGGGTCAATAAGACCGAAGATCAGGCCTCGCCCAAAGAATACCCCTCGGTGTTTTGCGAAGCTGCCGCAGAGTTCATAGCGCAGACGCGCTAGACACACCGTGCACGCGGCGCTGTATATGTGTATAGTTATGTGTATACATGTATATGTATATATATATGACTGCAACTGGCAGCACGCCAACGCACGTCACACGCACGCACGCGATGCATTTCATAATAACACGCGTGTTATGACTAGCCAGCCAGCAGACTTCGCCCGCGCCCGAGCCACCCAGAAGACTTGCCCAGCCAGCCATGGCTGCCACAGCCGCCTGGATATATGAGCGCAGCGTGGACGGGATGGTGGGATGGAGGAATGGAGCTGGGATGATGAGTGCGAGGGCCGTGGTAATCGCACTGTGATGATCGAATGCGCCCACAGCGAATCACCGCCGCCCCCTGCCTTCAGGATGTGCCGCGCTATTGGGCCATGTGTTTCCCCAGCCTTTGTGGAAGCCCTTCGGAGAACGCATATGCCCGCATTCGCGTGAATGCCAGTGCATGTGAAATCCTCATGCACCTCGCGTGCAACGCGTCTTCTTCTTCTTGCAATCGCATCGCTGCCCCGCTGCCCCCCACCCGCCCCCCCTTCCTCCAGCCCTCCTACCAGTCGATCTCGTCGGCCCGAGATTGGGCGAAGCGCCGCCGATCCGATCGATGCTCGTGCTCATAATTCTATTGCTATCAAGCGGCATCTTTCGGCCCTTACCGATTGTTGCACGCGAGGCCGTTCCACGCTCAATGCGAGGATTTTCTTTTACAGAGAATTCTTCAGGGGCCAACAGGCGGCCCCAACTGGCTCAAACTAGCGGCCGGGAAGGCTTGCTCTGTAGATTGCCGCGCGTGTCGGGCAGCTATCTTCTTTGCCGCCAGCCCGAGAAATCGCGGGTCACCCGCTGGCCCCTGGAGAATTCTCGAGATCCTCGCAAAGAGCGTCGAACGTCGTCGCGCGCAGTATTTCGATAGTTACATGGAAACGATCGAATATGGCAAAACCCTCCTAAACCAGCATGGTATACTAAAACAAACTAATAGCAAACATCACGTTCTTAAATTAAGATCCTGGCGGCCTCTGGGGAACCCATCGGGCCCGGGGCCCCGGGCCCCGGAGCGACTTCGAGCCCCGGCCCCCGAGACGCCCTCGCGACCCGCGGGGGCAGGGGCACAAAGTTTGGCCCCGGGCACGGAGATGCTCCGCCCGGAGCCAATGCGAGACGATCGAGGCACCTCAGCTGACAGCGGCGCACTCGGCAGAGCGGGGACCATGTCCGGACTGGGAGCACTCGGCAGGACTGCGGGCCCGCCCTGGCCGGCGGCCTCAAATTCCCGAATGCCTCGAGCCACCGTCGACTCGGGGGGGTTAGCTCCCTCGATGGGGGCGAGGCGGGGCCTCTGAGCCGGAGGCTCGCCGGGTGCCCCCTCGAAATCTGAAGGCCGCACAGCGGCCCGACGGGCCGTCTCGGCGTCAGACAGCGGGGCCGCTCTCGAATCAAGGGAAACCAATCGAGACATCGAGGGCTCGGAGGGGGCCACCGTCGGCGCGGGCCCGGGGGCCTGCGTCGCTCGCCCTCCAGGCAAGGTCCTGGGGCTGCCTCGGAAGCGGGGGGGCGCCCAGAGCCCGGCGCAGGGCGGCGGGCGGCTCGCCCGTCGGCTCCGGGGCCGCAACTGCGGCTCCACTTGAAACCGCTCGGGCCGCTGGGTCAGGCGGCGGCCCCGCCGCAGCCTCGGGAAAATCAAAAGCCTCCGGGGGGGGCGGGCCCTCAGCGGCCACGTCGACAGCGCCAGATCGCTTCGCTGGGTTTCGAATCTCGCCCCTCGATCAGTCCGTTGAAGGTAGAGCTGCCCCATAACTGCGCCCCAAGAGTCTCAACCCTCGTGGCCGAGCGAACTTGTTCGGCCGAGCATTTTAGGAGCCGCGTCCGCATGGCGACCCACGCGGTTCCCCCGGGGCCACCAGACAGGAAAACCACAACCCTGGGCCCTGTCCACCTATCTCTCTGCAGCGAATGCGATCTGTTGGAAGAAGTCAAGCACCGGTAGACGTAGACCCACTGGCCAGGTGAGAACTGCCGGCCCACGCGCAGGCGCCCCAAGACGAACCGGCTGCCACTCGAGCTGCTGGGCAGCCTCTCGCCCCGAGATCCATGCGCTGCCTACGTTGTCCCAGATCCCCAAGACGCTCCTCGAATCCTTTCTGGAACCTCTGGCTCCTCGATGCCCGTTACAGAGACATCGAGATCCCGGACAAAAGCGCCCCCTGAGTTGGGTCCGTGTGGGGGTGGGGGGGGGGGGGGGGGGGGGTCTGGTGGTGCGGGGGGTGCTGGGGGGGGGGGGGGGGGGGGCAACGTCAAGTCATGTCGGCCCCCACGGCCCCAACGCGACTTGGTTCGTAAAGATCATCTTGGTGCGAGGCCTCGCCCCCTCAACTTCGGCTCGATGAGTCATGTTGGCACTGCTCGCTCTCACTTGCCAGAGTAGCACCCAACGTGTATGCCCGAAGCTATCGATATCCGCTCGCTGCGTCTTCGATCGCGCCGCCCTTAGGGGGTATATATCACGTGCTTCTCTCGCGGGATTGGCGCAGCACGTAAAACTTGAAGACCAACGACAAGTCGTGAGGACGGCGGTATAATGGAGGGAGGCAGGAAGGATGAGGTCAAAGGGAGGAACAAGGAGAAGGAGGAGGGTCATGCCCATTGCCTTTGCCTACGCCCTCCCCAACCGCAGACGCATCGCCATCATTCCCGTTCCCCGCCCCCCCCTCCTGCCCGTCCTCCTGCCCCCCCATCCCGCTCCTCATCATCGTTGTTGTCCTCGCCGTCCTGAGCGTCGTCTGCTACCCCGACCCCCCCGAACGACGACGATCGAGATTCGTCTGCGGATTGCGCAAGACGACGGTCGACGACGATGACGGTGACGACGACGATAACGACGACGACGACGACGATGACGAGTGGGAGGCAGCGGATCCAGCCGTGGCGACGCCAGAAGAGATCTTCGTTGTCATGCGGCCATCTCCCGCCGCCTGGCATCTCGTAGGCCTCGCTGGCCACGTCACTGCGCGCAGTATAACTCCAGCCGAGGCAGCAAACATTGCCTCCAAAGAGGCACGCACAGCGAAGTTTACCCTCCTTCACCCTGTGACACTCTCAGCCTGGCCAGCCCCCACCCGAAGGACAGAGACGAGCACGAAGAAGAGGAGGGGGAAGTCGAGGAGGAGGACGAGGGAGGGGGGGGAGGAACAGGGAGGAGGGAGGTGGAAACACATGGGAACAAGAAGGGAGGCACTTGAGAGGGATTCCACGGAGGAGGAAGAGGACATGGAGAGGGGGGCGGAAGAACATCACCAGGTCCCGGCCTACCCCACCCCACCATCGAGCAGGGTCGCCTAAAAGGGGCGAACACGCTTGAGGCCGCGGCGCGGCGCGTTGCCCTGATCAGGGCTGGCCTCGCGCTTGACGCCACCGCGCTCGGCCGCAGGGGCAGCGGCCTTCGCCCCGCTAGAAGGGCCAGAAACGACAGAGGCGGCCTTCTTCGGGCAAGGCGCGCGTGAGCTAGAGCCCTGCGACGGAGAGCGCTTCTCACCCTTCTCGCTCACAGGCGCCGAGGGCGCCGCGCCCGCTGCCTCGGCCGACGCTGGCGACTTCAAAGCCGCCATCGACTCGCCCCGCGCGCACGCTGGAATATCCTCGTTCTTCGGGACTTGTTGGCCTTCACGAAGGCGTCGGCCAAGCTCGGGCCTGCAGGGCTGTCCTGCATATTCATCGAGATGTCCGTAGCCTTGATCACGATCGCAACTTGGGAAGCCTTCACCTAGCGAAGCTGCAAAAGATCACTCTGCACTCACGGCTCCAACTCCCCAGCTGGCATTGCCCCCGTCAGGCCAGGATCTGGCGGCGAGCGGGAGGAGCACGAGTGAGGGGGGGGAGAGGGTTGTGAGGAGGCGAAAGGTAAGGTGTTGAGGCGAACGGCGAGCGGGGTTCGAACGGGGGGCGAATGCTGAATGATCCCTTCGCAACTCCGCGAGGCCAGCGTCGCCATGGCCGTAGCGACGCAGGCGCTTGCGATGTCATTGCCCTGCGCCCGCGGCGTCACCTCCATCATCTGCGCAGCCGCGGACGTGGGGCTGAGGTCCTTGTGCAGGGCGTTGTAGGCGCACACCACCTTCTCGAGCTTCTTCTCGCTGCCGAATATGGCGCCCAGCATCTTTAAGTCGAGCCTGCCGCCAGGGTTGACCGTGGCGCCCCAGTCCGGGCATGTCGCCTTGCACGCGTCCGAGGACGCCATGACGATGTGGGTTGAAATTGTGAGAATCCTGCCCTGGCACTTCTTGGAGAAGACCGCGACCAGCCACGTCCAGCGGCGGGTGCTCTGAAACGAGAGAGGGCACTGCCATCCAGCCTTCTCGAGCTCAAGCGACGCATCCGAGTTGAGGAGGGGTCGAGCGCCATGAGCACATCCGACACAAGCCTCTGCAGGCCGCTCAACGTCTTGAACGCGTCATCCTTCGAGGGCGCCTTCTGGTAGCCACCCTCCTTGAAGAGCTCGTCGTGCAGAAAGGCGCAAAGGGCGCCAAGGTCGTTGGTCGAGGTCACCACGGACAGGTGCAACATGGCCTGGTCGGCCTTCATGCGCAGCCCGAGAGGGTCCGAAGTGCAAGTGACTTCGGGAAGAGCGACAGCGGCAAGGCCGCTTGCCGAAATGAACTCCTTCAACTCCCCCAGGGCGACGCTGCGCTGCGCGGCTGTCAGAGCGGCCATGGTGACGCTGGAATCGCCATCGAGCTCGAGCTGAACTCTGACGAACTCCCCGTAAGAGTCCACCGACCGAACCACCACATTGATCGCGTCGAAATCGCCCGACTGGGTAGCCAACTTCTGCTGCGCATCACCCAGAGAGAAAGATACCCTCGTTCCGATATGCGAAAGCTTCGCCATTGTAAACTCGTCCGCCACGGCCGTGTAAAGGGGTGCCCCCTTCGAGGTATCGCGTCGGCAGTGGCACTGCGCGACGTGTGCATTTGACAATCTCACTTCAGGATGGGGGACCACATATGTCACATGATGTGGATGCGGGCTGGGTGGGGGAGCTCACCTAAGTGAGATTGCCAACGGCACGTGTCGCACGGCGGCACTCCCAATCACGCCTACATCATCCATGAACCGCTGGAAGTCGCTCCAGACCTTCGCGACCAGCTCATCGTTCGTGGCGGCGCTCGTAACATCGAAGACGACGGGGTCGTGCTTCATATTGTGCACGTGCTTGGCCATGCTGATGACCCTCTCGGACATGTTCCTGTCGACGTGCTGCCCCGAGAAAATCAGCGCCAGAGTCGCCGCGGAGTTGACGCAATCGATCATGTCAGTGAGCCCCTTGATGGTGGAGTCCAAGCGGGCCTGGAAGGACATGTTGTTCTTCTGCTCGCTCTGGGGCCGCTCGCTGGTCGCACCTGGGCAGCTCCTCTCATTCAAGGCCGCCTCGCACGTGCGCAAGCGCTTCCACATATCTCCCAGCGTAGCTCCGAAGCCGATCATGCCGTCGCGGAACTCGCCCAAGATCGCCAAGACACTGAAGGATCCCGAGCGGGCCTCCGCCGCGGCCGTTGTAAGCGCCACGCTTGCACCCTCCTGCGAGGTGCTCTCCTCCGTAGGCACCGCGAGCCGCGACTTCGTCAGGGTCTCGATGTGTTTGCCGAGGCCGTCGCACTGGACCGAGACCGTCACGCCGAAAGTGCGGACCACTGCGCACAAGCTCGCGTCGATGGTGGATTCGGAGTTCTGCGCCGCGTCAATCAGCAACTTCTCGTTGTCGGCCAAGGCGGATGCCGACCACTTGTGCAAGGAGAGCATAGCCCCAGCGAACAGCTTGCCCATGAAAGCGACTTGGCCATTGATGGAGGTGGAAGCCCCCGTCGCTTTAGACACAACCCAGTTCTCCAGGTCATCGAAGGCATCTTGAAAGTCAGACTCGAAAGCGGCCGCGGCGCTGGTGAAAGACTTCGACGCGGCCTCGTCCTCCACATTTCGTGCGACGTGCAAGCGGGGCACCTCCGCGGCGTCCTTCGGGACCTTGTATGCGATCATGGTTCGCGCGAGCTCTGCTGAAGGCGTTTGGCCTGACTGCCTCGTCTGCTCCAGGACTGTCTTCCTGGCATCTCGTACCGTCACCGACGTGGGCCGCTCACTCTCTGCGGCGCTGCAGCACTTCGCGATGCTGCCGATGGCCCCGAGCACTCGAGTGAAGACAATGCTTTCGTCGTCGTCGTTGTCACCAGTGAGTGGCTCCATCGCGCGAGCCCGCGCATGCGCGACGGTGCTGATCTCGGTCACGAACTCGTCGGCCGTCTTCTTGAGTTCCAGGCACGTATCGGGGGGGCTGTAGAGGTAAGACCGCATCGCCTCCGCGACCATGTAGGCCATGTGGTACTTGGCACTGACACCAATCTGCACCTTAGTTGAGAGCTCGACCACGGTATCCTTCTGCTTCGTCGCCTTCTTCGCATTCTTTTCGGCGGGTTCGTCGCGCTCCTCTGTGACTTCGACATTGGCGGGATGCTCCGGCTCCTTATCTTGCGCTGCCTCCTCGGGGCGTCGGCGCATCAAGTCGAAGATGACCATGCTCGGGTTTTCGATCGCGGTCGAGACCTTGTTGTGCTTCTTGATATAAGCCTGGAAGACGCTGTGCACAAAGATGACCGTCAGGTCCTCTGCCAAGGGGAGTCCCTTAGAGGCCAAGTACGCCACCTGGATTCCGAAGTGGTCCAAGGTGTTGACGAGGTTCGCGTCGTCCTGGGTGCCCAGCCAATGCTTGGGGCACTTGTGAAGAGAAATGGAAGCGTTGATCCTCGCACACACCTGCTTATACGCAACTTGCACAGAGTACGCCACCTTGCCGACGATCGCTTCGCGGTGATTCTTCAACCTTCTCTCCAATGCCTGCATCGTGCCCAACTTGTAATCTTGGAGCCACCCCTCTTTGGCCACGCGGTCCACGTAGGCGTTCACCGCGTTGCGCATTCGAGCGACGGAGACAAACTCCCGCCCAGCGGGGAAGCGGCAGCTCGGCGACATGTCCTGCAGAGGAAGCCCGTGAATGTCGATCCCACTCGACTCCTCGACGCACCCTTGGGGCTGCGCAACTGGCGGCGCCACGCCACCTTCATCTCCGTCGGCTGGCCGAGCCACGTCGTCCTCATTAGAGACTGGGGGGGGGGGGGGGGGGGGCATTCGCGTCGGCCAAGGCCAACTGATTGTAGATAACCTTGGTCAGGAGCGTGGCCCGACGGCGAGTTGGCTGCTCTAAGGTCGGGCCAGTCTCCTTCCCATCCCTTGACGCACCTGGGCCCTCGAACAGGCCGTCCTGGAAGTCCTCGCCGTTCGCGCCCTCTCCGTCCTTCTCCTGCTCGACCTTCGCCAAGCCGATGGTCACCAGGCTGTCGTCGTGGGCCTGCAAACTGAGGCTGTCCGCAACGGGCTCAAGCACCGCGTCCAAGTCGGGGAGGTCGCCGGACAACTCCTCAGCTAGCCGCTGATCCTCTCCGGTGGGGTCCCAGGACCCGTCGGTGGTGTGCACAGCAGGCGAGGCGTTTGCATTCTGCCAACACTTCTGTTGCAACTTGCCCCTGAAGCGAGATCAAGCCAAAAAGGGCTTCGGAGGGGAGGGGGGAGGGGCACGCATTGGGAGGGGGAGCGCGCATAGAATTGGGAGGAGGATTACCAGGAGGAGGAAGCCCAGCAACAGTTGGGTCAGCTGCAGCACGAGCCCCGATGGAGGGCCTCGTGCGGTCCAAGGGCAGTGTCGACGGACGGGGTAAGCCTTCGCCGCGGTGGCTCTCTTGACCAGTACCGATTGGGAGCGTCTTTAGGTCTACGGCTCAAGAACTACAAGGTCCAGAACTACATGCAGGATTGGGTCCGAACCTCATTTTTCATTGTGCTGAACATCGTAATACACTGGCAACGTGAGTTGTGGACTTGTATAAATGAGTACTACTAAAACGACGCATACTACGACTACAACCACTACTATTGTAACAGCATGCTCGACACCACAAACAAAAAATCAACAGCAATAACTACTAGGATCAATGGTACTTATACGCAAACTAGTAGCAATACTACCTGCACTACCAACACTTCTAATACTACGACTACCACCGCTACCACTACTGCTGCTACTGCAACTCCAAGTCCTACTAATACTCCTACACCTACTCCTACTCCTGCGCCTACTCATACTACCACAGCTATTACTTCGAATATTATTTACTACTACTACTACTACTACTACTACTACTACTACTACTACTACTACTACGACGACGACGACGACGACGACGACGACGACGACGACGACGACGACGACGACGACGACGACGACGACGACGACGACGACGACGACGACGACGACGACGACGACGACGACGACGACGACGACGACGACGACGGCGACGACGACGCGACGACGACGACGCCGACGCCGACGACGCGACGACGACGACGACGACGACGACGACCGACGAGACGACGACGACGCGGACGACGACGCGACGTCGACGACGACGACGAGACGACGCGACGACGACGACGACGACGCGACGACGACGACCGACGACGACGGACGACGACGACGACGACGACGACTTACTCTTACTACTACTTACGACTACTACTACTAGTATAATTGTTTAGGTAAAAACTACTGTTACTACTATACTATACTACTACTACTAATTACTACTACTACTACTTACTACTGAACGATACTACGACTACTACGACTACTTTGTTTTTTTTTTTTACTACTACTTCTTACTCAATACTTACTACTACAATACTACTACTCTACTACTACTATCTACGATATTCCTTATTACTATTACTACTTCTACTTTTTTCGAAGTAATTCTTGATACTACTTCTACTACTACTACTACTACTACTACTACTACTACTACTACTACTACTACTACATCTACGACCACCACTACAAATCCTGCTACTACTACTACATCGACTGCCACTACTAGTGCTAGTACTAGTACTAAGACTGCGACTACTACTCTTATCTTTACTCCTTATTCGAATATACTCCTACTCCCCCCTCAGGCCGGCCATTAGGGGCCGCATCCGGGGGGTCCCATCCTAACCTGTAAAAAACAATACAAAATCAACATGTTTCTTATTTTTTCCTCTCGACATGGACGTCCTGTCGTCCACGGCGATAATCCATTGCAAAAAACACCACAAAGAGCACACGCGCGCGTTCATGTCAGAATCCTACCGAACACAGTGTGTTTGCAAGCATTTCAACATAAAAACATCAAAAACCCAATGCTTTTTTCACAAAAATTGTACAAATTTCCCGCCCGGGCTCTCTTGCTGAAATCATAGGAAAACCATAGGAATCTTAAGAATTCTGTCAAATCCAGCGATTTCACGTCATCGCGCGGTGCACTCGCGATGCTTTGTCATGCACCCAGGCCGCGAATCCTGTGCAAAAAATACCACAAAGAGCACACTCGCGCGTTCATGTCAGAATCCTACCGAACACCGTGTTTTTGCAAGCATTTTCAACATAAAAACATCAAAAACCCAATGCTTTTTCACAAAAATGCTTTGGGGTGTCCTGTCAGACCGTCGGGTTTCCTCCGGCCAACTCTGGCTTCCTGCGGTGTACCGGGCCATTCTCGACTCGTCTGGCAATGCGTGCGCGGCATTCAACACGCGCTCGCCAGTTCCCGTCGGCAACCGCCATCGCGGCGCATCAGCTGTACCAAACCGGCTGGCCGGTGTGACTTCGGCCCCCAGTTGTGCCAGCTTTGCTTCTTATGTTGTGGGAGGGCGGGTGGGGCTGGGCATGCCATGCTTGACTCGCTCGAGCTGGCTAGCTTGACTCCTCCTCCTACTCCTCCTCCTCCTCCTCCTGCTCCTCTTCCTCCTCCTCCACCTGGCCGCGTCCCAACCCAGGTCCCAGAAGCCGACAGAGCACGTGTTCCTCAAGTGGAGAATGAAGGCGAACGCTTTCTTCTTCGGCGTTTCGACATTGGGCGGAAGGGAGTGGTGGGGGAGGGGTGGGGTCTGGCTCCGAACGCGGCTGGCCAGCGAAAGTCGCGAGCGAAAGCTGGTGATGGGCCGAAATGGCAAGGATGCAAGGGTAAAATCGGGAAGCTGTTCGTCCTCTCTGAAGGGCCGGGGGGGGACACTGGGCAGAACGGGGGGCGGGGGATCTGGCTCCGGACCTCTGCTTACTGCGACTGCTTGCAACAGTGCGTCCTGTATGGGAAGACTCCACCAGCTTGCGATAGGCGCCAAAAACAGCCGAGATCTACTCTTGGGGGGGGAGGGGGTGCGAGGACCCGCACCGATCAGCAAAACAATAAATCAGAAAACGATCACAAGTTCGGCTCGTTCGTCAGCGACTGCTTAGTGCGACAGTACAATCAAGGCGCATAATAAGGATGCGCGGTAAGGATGCAAGGGCCTTGGAAGGCCATGACGACGTCTCTCGAACGCGGCTGGCCAGCGAAAGTCGCGAGCGAAGTTGCTGATGGGCCGAAGTGGCAAGGATGCAAGGGTAACCTTGGAAAGCTGTTCGTCAATACTATGCGCTTTGACTGAAGGGCGGAGGAAGGGACACTGCGCGGAAAGGGGACGGGGTCTGGCTCTGGACCTCTGCTTACTGCGACTGTTTGCAACAGTGCGTCCTATAGGGGGAGACTCCACCTGCTTGCGAAAGGCGCCAAAAACAGCCGAGATCTACTCCATGGGGAAGGGGGTGGATGGGTGCGAAGGCCCGCTCCGATCGGAAAAACAATGAATCAGAAAACGATCACGAGTTCGGCTCGTTCGTCAGAGACTGCTTCGCGCGACAGTAGGGGCAGCAGCCCACGATGGAAAAAAAACCCACGGCAAGTTCGTGTCGTGGTCGACCCCAGCGCTGGTTCCTGACACCGCGGGGATCGTTCATCCTTGAACGATCGGCCGTTTCCGAGAGCGTCCGATCGTTCAACATCGACCGACTCTGGGTTTTGGACGCCCGGGAGGGTTGCGGAAAAAATGGTACAATGCCCAACAACAAGTGTTGCCCAAAACCGACAGCGGCAGCTGTTGGACAGGCGGCGATTTGTCTTCAGTGAACAACGTCCGCGGCTGCGCGGACAGCGAGTCCTTTTCTAAACAGGAGCAGCTGTTGGGCATCGTACCCATTATTTCCGTGTCCATTTCCTGTTTTTTTTGTCGGTTTCGCGCGTGGCTGTTTCGCCAAGTGATCAAGGATGCTCCTCGACGGCCCTCGCCGAAGGAAAAATGCACACGTCCGAGCGACGCCGAGGCTCGATCGTCCCGATGGATCGTCCGCGGCGTGCAGCCTCGAACGCCGGCGGCGGGGCCGCCGCCAGGCGACACGACGCGAAGGCACCGCGCCCTCGGCGTGCTGCTCCTGCTGCTGCAGCTCGCACCCCTCGTCCTGCCCCTGCCGCGGGTGGTCTTTTGACGTCCCAAAGCCTAAAACGGCACGAAGATCGGGACAAAGTCGGATCGGGATAACTCGAAATCTCTGAGAATCGGCGGGTTTGGAGGATGTATTGGGCGCCGCGGCCGCTCCAGAGCGTGCCGGAACGCTCTGAGAGCGCTCCGGAACGCTCTGGAGCGATTTATCCCGATCCTAGCCCTGTTTTGTTGGTTGGGTGCTCGGCTGGAGTATAAACCACTGTGGTGTCCACCTCTCCTCCTCCGGCTCCTCCGCAAGCCTCCCCCCCTTCTCCCCCCTATCCCCCTCTCCTCCCGCCTGCCTTCTGCCTCCCGCTTCGCGCGGCCGCGGTCTGCGACACTGCCGCCGCTGTCGCTGGCTCCTGGGAGGGCCAGCGGAGTACGCGGATCATCACGAGACCTCGCCGCCACCGGGGGGGCTGCGATCTGCGACACTGCCGCCACCTTCGCTGGCTTCCAGCGGAGTAACGTCATATGCGGATCACCACGAGACCTCGCCGCCCCCTAGGGGGGCTGCGATCTGCACAATGATTGCCACTTTCGCTGGCTCGTGGGAGGAGTGACGTCATACGCGGGTCACCACGAGACCACGCCGCCCCTTTGGGGGCTGCGATCTGCGAAACTGTCGACCACTTTCGCTGGCTTTTGGGGGGCCAGCACCACGAAACCTCGCCGCCCCCTGGAGAGCGGCGATATGAGAAAATAATCAAAGACGCCCCACGCTTCCCCTGATCCACAGGTAGGCTTAGCAGGCCCCACAATGACCAAATTAATTTTCCCAGGGGCCCCCGCTGCCTTCATCTCAGCGGGCGTCGCGTCGAAATCCCCCCCTCGCGATGAACGGCGCCCCCATGAAGTGCAGGAACTCGCCCAACTGACCCAAGACTTGCCTGCCACGAGCCCCAGCTCCATCTCCAGACGGGAGATGGACAGAGGAAGCGACAAAACCACCCTTTTAAGCACCCCCGAACCAGGAAGAGACGCACCTGGAGTGGGGTCGGTGCCCATCGGGCACGCTTCCCATGCCTATCCACTTCCTACAGACCAGACCCACACACCCCGAGAGACCGCCAGACTCGGTCACGCCACGGGCCCCAAGACGGGTATAGCACCCTAATTTCAAAAGACAGTTGGCGCCTGAGGCCACGTCAGCCCCAGGGCACCTGGCACTCCAGCAGCACGCAGACACTGGCAGAGCATGCGATCTCAAGAAAAGACTGGCATCGCAGCCAACTCCCGACATTGGCCGCGCAGATATGCCAGAGACCACTGCTAAATATCATAGTTTGACTGGGCCGCCGAGCGCCTGTTGGGACTACGCGAGCGACCCTCGCGCCTGCCATCCTGCTTGCGCTCGCCCAGGTCCCCCCTGGCCTTGGACGTCATCTGCTGGGCGGTGGCCTAAATCTCGGGCTCTTTGAGCTCGCCACGCCCCTCGAGCCCCCCCCCCTGGGCTGTCGCAGGTGCTGGTCGCAGCGCACATCGCCGTCAACGGCCACGGCGACCTCTCCGCCCCTGCCGCCTGGAACGCCATCACCAGCACCAGCAGCACTCCCAGCAGCAGCCCCTCGTGCGACCTGGCGCCCTGGACGGCGCGGCGCACTGGGCCGCTTGGCCGCGTCGGCCTCGCCGCGAGAACCCGCCCCTGGAGCATCCGCGCCTGCTCCCAGAACGTCGGGCGCAACGACCGCCTGCGCGGCGGCGCGGACGACCCGGTCGAGGGCGCCCCCCATCTTCTCAAACGCCTCCGGCGGCCTTCAAACCGCCCACCGCCGCCTTGAGCGGGGAACCCGCACTGTCCTCCACGTCGATCGCCGCTTCGGTTGCCGCGCCCAGCTACGCCATGCGTCGCGTCGCCGCCACCAGCTCCGCCTCGACCGCAGCGAGGCCCCCCTCGTTGGCCTCGGCCACCGCGACCATCGCCTGCACCGCGGTCGCCCCCAAAAAATGCAATATTGCGCTTGCCCTGCACCACCTGCTGCGAGCACTTGCCGATGAGCAGGTTGGCCTGCTGCGCCTCCGCCCGCGCGCACAGGCCGAAAGTATGCATGGCGCGCTCGTGGATGAGCTGGTCCCTCCGGGACTGCGCGAGAGACAGAGACAGCGCGGCAAACTGGACCTCCTCCATGCCCATCCACAGCTCCATCTCCTCCGCCGACAAGGCGTGGACAGCTTGCTGCTGGCGGCCATGCCCAGCGTTCGCACCATCTCCACTGCCTCCTTCTTGCCAGCTGGGCGACCCTCGCGCCCACGCATTGCCTGGCACCCATGTCCACTCACCATGACCCTGCCTCGGGACTTGACCATGCGAACTGCACCCCGCGAAGCCTGCCTGCCTGCAGGTCGCGCGGTGCCCCTTGTTGCAGAAAGCACACTTGCTACATTACCACCCAGGCGCCATGACTGCTGCCCTCGAGGTTCCCGACGGGCTGTCCTCGGGAAGTGCGCCCCACGGTCGCCTGGGCGGCTCACCGTGGGTTCAAACGAGAAGCACGGAAACAAGCCTGGCCAAAGGCCTCGGCAATCGGCCACGGCCAAGGCCAAAATGTAATCGCTGATTCTCAGGCGTCTATAGCCCTTCACAACGTTTACCCTTGAGCCAAAATGGCTACGGACTCCTCCTCCTCCTTCTCCTCCCCTGCCTCCTCGTCCTTCTCCTCTTCCTCCCGTCTCTCCTCCGCCTCCTCATCCTCCTCCTCCTCCTCCTCATCATCATCATCCTCCTCATCCTCCTCATCCTCCTCATGTTCCGTGTCGTGCTCCTCCTCCTCCTCCGCTTCCTCCTCCTCTTCCTCACCCCCGTCTTCCTCATACTATTCTGATTAGTGTTAGTAATAATAGCAGCATGAGTAGTATGGTAATGGTAATTATTCAAAAGATGATGGTTCTTATTCGTAGTAGTAGCAGTGCTCTTATGCTTACGAAAATTGATATTATGAGTCGCATTATTATCAGTACCATTATTATCCATGGTGTTACCATTCGTATTGTTAAAACTCTTAATGTTAGTATTCATGTATAAACCGTATGTTTATGATTCGTATTCGTATGGTCTTGCTTACTTGTTATCCCTAAGATTACTATTATTCATCATCACAATCCGCATCAGCATCGGCACCAGCATCCTCATCGCCATTATCAGCACCAGCGCCACCACCATCAGAATAAGCATCACAAGCATCACCATCATCATCACCATCAACATCGTCATCATCAGCATCATCATCAGCAGCACAATCATCATCAACGTCATCATCGCCATCATCAGCATCATCACCATCACCATCATCACCCTAATCATCATCATCACCACCATCACCATCATCATCATCATCATCATCATCAGCCTCATCATCATCATCATCATCATCATCATCATCATCATCATCATCATCATCATCATCGTCATCATCAGCAGCATCATCATCAGCATCAGCATCAACAGTAGAATCATAGAATCCTCATCATCAATATCATAATCATAATCATCATCAGCAGCATCACCATCAGCAAAATCGTCATCATAATCAGCATCTTCAGTACCATCATCAGCATCATCATCATTATCAACACTAACACCAACGTCAGCATCATCAGCAGCATCATCATCACCATCACAATAATCCTCATCACCATCATGCTGATCAGTACTACCATCAGCATCATCATCAGCAGCATCATCATCACCGCCATCATCATCGTAAGCATCAGCATCATCACCATCACCCTCACCACAATCATCACCATCAACAGCAGCATCATCAGCAGCAGCCGCAGCATCATCATCGTCAGCAGCATCATCAAAATCAAAATAATACTCATCATCATCAGAATCATCATCATCATCAGCATCAGCATCAGCATCATCATCATGAACATCATCATCATCATCATCATCAGCAGCAGCAGCATCATCATCATCATCATCAGCATCATCCCTCTCCTCCTCCTCCTCCTCTTCCTTGTCCCGCTCCTCCTCTCCCTGCTCCTCCTCCTCCTCCTCCTCCACGGGGCGGGTGCGGCCGCCCGGGCGAGCGGGCCTTCTTGATCAGGTAGTACAGGTCCTCCGGCAGCTCGGGGGCCATCCCTGCCCCGCTCTCTCCCTCGGGGTGCCGCCGCGCGCGCCCGCCCGTCGCTCGAGGAGCCGCCCACGACGACGCCGACGCCGACACCGACGCCGACGCCGACGCCGACGCCGACGGCGACGACGGCCTCGACGACCTCCTCCTCCGCCCCCTCCTGCTCCTCCTGCTCCTCCTCCTCCTCGTCGTCCTCCTCGTCATCCATTCCTCTTTCTTACAAACAAGTTCTCCCTGTCGCAGCCCGAGGCCAGTTTTTTGGGCGGTCCTGTCGTTTCGCCTGAGACTCTCTCACCATTCATGACCCCGAAGCTGAAACATTTGCAAGAGCTTCGCGGATGGAGGGCGGGTGGTTTTCAAAATGTGGCTCTCGCCTTAGCGCCTCGCGCAGTCATTCAAAAATTGTGCAAGGGTTTCACGGATGGAGGGCGGATGGTTTTCAAAATGTGGCTCTCGCCTCAGCGCTGCGCACACTCGTTTGAAAAAAATGCAAGAGCTTCACGGATGGAGGGCGGGTGGTTTTCAAAATGTGGCCCTCGCCTTAGCGCCTCGCACATTCGTCTAAAAAACTTGCAAGTGTTTCACGGATTCCCATGGTCAACATACCAGAAATGCTGTTTTGGACGCCTTCAGGATCTCGCAGGTGCACCAGTTATGTTGGCTCGCGGTGTTGGAGTCCCAAAAATAGCGCTCTGTCACGGTTCCGAATCGTCAAGGCACAGCAGTCAGGTTGATCCGTGGCGTTGAAATCTCGAGAACAATGTTTTGGCATGCTTCAGGGTCTTCAAAGGGTTCTCTTCTAACTTTCACTATGGGAATGAACCGTTGTAGGGGCCTATGAAGAGGGAGCTTGGAGGGAGGGTTAACTCGAACATCGTTGATGATGCTTGGGTTTACACTGAACCTCCTCCTCTTCCTTCTCCTCTTCCTCCTCCTCCTCCTCCCCCTCCTCCTCCTCCTCCTCCTCCTCCTCCTCCTCCTCCTCCTCCTCCCACTCCTCCTCCTCCTCCTCCTCATCCTCCTCCTTCTCCTCCTCCTCCTCATCCTCCTCCACCTCATTCCGTTGTTCTTTTTGTTCCCCAACCATCCTGTGGTGTTGGGTCTTCGTTTTGAAGAGACAGAACCCCGCGTCCCTCCCCTCTCCTCTCCTCGCCTCTCCTCTCCTCTCGTCCTCCTCGTCCGCCTCCTCCTCTTCCTCCTCTTCCTCCTCCTGCTCCTCCTCCTCCCCTCCTTCTCCCCCTCTCCATGCCTCGCCCCCATCATCATCATCATCATCATCATCATCATCATCAGCATCATCATCATCATCATCATCATCATCATCATCATCATCATCATCATCATCAGCATCAGCATCAGCATCAGCATCAGCATCAGCATCATCATCATCATCATCATCATCATCATCATCATCATCATGATCACCACCATCACCATCATCAGCATCATCATCAGTATCATCATCATCACCACCACCACCGCCACGATCATCATCATCATCAGCAGCATCATCATCATCATCAGCATCATCATCATCATCAGCAGCATCCCATCAGCATCAGCATCAGCATCAGCATCAGCATCAGCATCACCTTCACCATCATCACCACCACCACAACCAACACCACCACCATCAGTATCATCATCATCAGCATCATCAGCACCGTCGGCATCATCATCATCATCATCATCAGCAGAAGCATCATCATCAGCATCAGCATCAGCATCAGCATCCTCAGCATCATCAGAATCGGCAGCATCATCAGCATCAACAGCATCAGCATGATCAACATCAACAGCCGCATAATCATCATCGTCATCACCATTATTATCATAGGCATCATAACCAGCATCATCATCATCATCATCATCATCATCATCATCATCATCATCATCATCATCGTCATCAGCGTCAGCATCACCAGCATCAGCAGCAGCATCATCATCATCACCATCACCATCACCATCAGCATTATCACCGTCGTCATCATCACCATCATCATCGTCGTTATCACAATCACTATCATCATCACCATCATGAACATCCTCATCCTCCTCCTTCTCATCTTCACCACCATCATAGGCATAATCAGCATCGTAAGCATCATCATTATAAACATCTGCATCACCATCGCCGGCACCATCACCATCACCATCACCATCAACATAAACATCACCCTCAGCACCATTATCACCAGCACAATCACGATCACGATCAACCTCACCACCACCATCAGCATCGTCATCATCATTATCATCAGCACCATCAACACCACCATAAATATCACCATCATCGTCGTCATCAGCAGCAGCACCAGCATCATCTGAATCATCAGCAGCAGCATCTGCACAAGTAGCACCATCACAATCAGCATCACAATCATCAGCAGCACCATCGCCATGGCCATCGTCATCGCCATCGTCGTCGTCATCGTCATCCTCACCACCACCACCATCACCATCACCCACATCATCATTATCCTCAGCATCATCAGCTGGGGACCCCAAGGATCAAACCACCAACGAAGCCACTCCCTCTGCGATCGGACCCCTGCAGGGGGTGATCCCCGCAGCACGACCGCTGGCCCTGACTCTCCGTTGAGCTTCAGGATGCGCAGGATCTTGTTCCCAGAGACGTACCTCACCTGGAAATGGCTGGGGAAAGGAAAACGGGCAACATCTTCGAGAACCGCTTCACCCAGCACACGGCGCGCGTAAGGAAAAGGGGGGAAGAAAGGCAAGGGAAAGTTAGGTGCGCTCGCGCTTTCATATGACACCCTGACATTCCCACCCGTCCCTTCCCATTGCGCGGATGTTTTCTTAATCCGCCGATTCGCGCCCCAGCGAAACTGGAGTTTCGAAAAGGACACCATCGTGTCATGGAAAATCGAACACATGGAAGCTTCACACAGTAGATGAGGAAGAGAAAGTCGGATTGCGGGTGACAGGTGGCGAAAAGAACGAGACATGGCGACAGTTCTGCCATGAGAGATAGCAGAACGGCAAGTCCTTCTTCCCCTCAACGCAATATCAGGTACGCTGGCCAGCTATCAGCAATACGGCAGCGGACCCCTCCTGTTCGAGTCGGGCCACCAGACAACTGAGAGCGTCCCTCCGCGCCAGTTACGCTACAGGGGGGCACCCGCAATGGAATGCCACAACATTCACCGCATGTCATTTGCAGTGGACGCCCAGCACACCTCACCCATGACTCAGGAGCGTCAGCCCGAGAATCCTGTGAATTCTGGGGGCCCTGCAGGCTCGCTCGTGGTCAGCTCGTACGCGAGATGGCCCGAGCTGACCCTGGCCAGGGTTGTGGATCGCAACGAGAACCACCGCCCGGAGAGCCCAAGGACAGGCTCTTTGCCCAACACGAACGGCCGATGCTGCCACGCAGCCGGGAGCGCTTGCTCGTGGGAACCCGGCGCCGATCGCGCCCTGCGCGCGCTCGAACCGCAGCGCCAGTCATGCCTGTCAGCCAGGTCCGTTTACTGGCTCTGTTTCCAGCACGCTGCCAGTGTGGCCGTTCGCCTGCAGCAATCTTTGGTGAGTAGGCGCCCGCAGGCTTAGCTGGCCATTGCGTCGCTTGCGCTGCTGCGTAGCTGGAACACACCCGCGCGCCCTGCGCGTCGCGCACGCAGGTGCAGCTCGCCAAGCTGTTTGCGCCAGCGCGCCTCTGGTTGCTAACGCGGAGCGATCACAGCGATTGACTGGCCCGCGCATTGGCCTGGCGACTGTCGAGCGGCACCGACGCGACGCGCGCTGTCTTGGGGTGGCCAGCAGCTGCGCAGTGTCGCAGGTGCCTATCTCGGTCGTTCGCAGTTGCCCCGTCGTCGGCAGCAGAGCGCGGCCCACGTGCCAGGCCGCCGCGACGCACGCCAGCCAGCCTATTTGGAAGCGCGGCCAGCGATTCAGCACTGACCTCTGCAGTGGCGCGCCGTCGGGCCGGCACCTCGCAGCGCAAGCGGCGCCGACGCGCCAGAGCTGGGCACTCGCGCATGCGCCTTTCGAGCGCCTGGCGCGTCGCGCTCGCCTGGGCTTCGCGATGAAGAAGCCCGCGCAGTTGCCCCAGTCTCCCGCGAGACAAGCAAGCCCGCGCTATTGACGGAGAGGCTGGCTGGCCACCGACGATATAGAACGGCTTCTCGACGGCGCTCGTGTCGAGCGAGATCTGCGATGAGCGCGCGGCTGGGCCATCCTCGCGGCGCTCGTCACAGCTCAGTCGCCCAGCGCCTCGCCGCCGGCACTTCGGACTCAACCATCACACTCGCGCCCATCGGCGCGCGGCGGCGGCGGTCAAGACGCCCGCGCAGGGACGCTGCACAGCGCGCTCAGGAGGACAAAGGTGGCGCTGCGCCGACTGGAGGCAGACGCGATTCCCGTCGATCCGCCGCGGGCGCGGCGCGGTTCGCACTGCCGGCAGCCGCGCGAGGATAGCCGGTCTGGCCAACTGTCCTTGCCCAAGACGCGGGGTCGCGCGCGGCCACGACGACCGCGCGGCCCTGCAAGTCGCTGCCAGGGCCACGACGGTGAGCCCGGTAGCTGATGTCACATGTTTAGCGACTCTGAGCGTTTACCTCGTCGGCAGCGACCCGGAGCAGCAACTGCCGCACGCGCGTCGGCGCGCTCGCGTGCACTTGCCAGCGCGGGGGCGCTGTCACGATGCAACATGGCCAGCGCGCAGGCGCACGATGGGCCGCGCAGCGCCGCTCCCCAGTCACTGCCCCCGATGGGCGGCGATAGCACCGGCCCGCTGTCGGCGAGCAAATGCCCACTTCAGGGACCGACGCTGGAGCGACGAACGAGGAGTAAGTCTAGCGCTGCCGCGCATGGACGCCGCGCGGGAATGGTCTCGGCGAAGTGGCACTCGGCCGTCGACGGCTGGGCGCAGGAGACTTCGAGCGGCGCGGGCTTCGAGCCAGCGGGGCCCAGGCCCACGAGGTGCGAGGACAGGAGGCGGCGCAGAGCGCGGGCATCGATCTTGCCCGCCACGGCGCGCTCGTGCGGCGCGAGCGCGCAGTCTGGAGCAGGTTCAGCGACTCGTTCACGATCGGCATCTCCAGAGTCGACGTCGCCCAGCGGCAGCTCGCGCCCTGCGCGGCGCGCCTCGAGGAGCTCCCCCACGAACGCGAGGGCCCCATCCTGCAGGGCGGCGGCCCCGCGCACTTCCGGCACGTTCTGCTGCGCACCGCGGCGCTCGAGGACGCCGGTGAGCCCGCCGCGCCCCTCGGCAGAATTCAGCGAGCTTAAGAACGGCATAAAATAAACTTTTTCGCTGTCGGGGGCGCCTGCCCCTGGGCGGCTGGAAAATATATACCCCACGGCGCCACCGTAAGGGCATAAACTTTCCAGCCGCCCAGGGAAAGGCGCCCCCGACAGCGAAAAAAATAGTTCATGCCGTTCTTCGCCCGTTGAAGAATGAATGCGCACGATGTGGCGCACTGCCCGCGGCCTGGGCCGGCCCGCCGAGTTCTCGGGCAGCTCCTGGCAAACCTGCCCCGCGCCGGCCTCGGCGCGCCCCGGGCGGCCGGCTGCGGCGGCGCCGCCGCCGAAGACCTCCTCGAGGGCTTCGGATAGGCTGGACTCGGCGCCCTTGTTGGAAGCCTAGAAATGGGCACCAACACCAACACAAGGGGCCTGCCTCCACATGGGGAAGACGACCCTAGTTTTCGGGGTTGGTGGCAATATTTCGGCCACCGTGGAAGCCAGAATATGGCCGCCATCACCGAGATCGAGATCTGCTTCCCTCGGTTGATGCACACCGCCGATATCGGTGTTTGCGTCAATCTCTGGGCCTGCGACCTCGGTGGACACCACTGGTCGAGCTGCCTCGCGCGGCGAACTGCCGCACCGCCTCGCATCCTGCCCAGCGAGGCAACACATGGGACAGCGCGCAGCACGAGGGCCATGGCGAGAACAACGGCCCCGGCGTCGACGCGTCGGCACGCACGGCGAGGCGACGCGACAGGGTGCATGACCGTTCACGCTGGAAGGCTCGCGACCTGATTCCAACGCCCCAAAACTTCCTCGGCGAGGCAACGATATGATAAGCATCAGAGTACCCTGGAGGTCAGGCTGCTCCCTGGCGCACACAGGGGGCCTCCCTGGCCGCGTCTGCGTTGCAGATCGCTGGAGGTCGCCTGAATTGTTGGCGACCTGCTCTCGGATGTTGCGCGCTGCGCGCGCGTGCCCGCGCGCGCGTGGATGCGTGCCGGGTCGCCCAGACACTCAGAGCCGTGCTGCGCGGTAATACTGGACCAAAATAGAACGGCGGTTGCGCAATGAGTCGCCCCGTGCGCATGAGACGCACTAGCCTGGCCTCAGGCTGCGCGATCGCGGCAGCGCATTCGCTGGCCCCCGTGACTCGCCCAGCGGTCAAGCGGGGGCTCGCTAACTGCAGATCGACGCACGAACGGGGCTGAACTACTGCGAGAAAGATGTTTCAGATACAGTCTGGCGCACAACGACGCAATGCGCGATGGCCAAGACGACGGCACGCGACGTGCGCAGTGCAAGAAAAGACGTCGCACCCCAAATCAGACGCAATGAACATGTGACAAAATTCGCTGCTACGCTGGTGGAAAGCACCGGCATGCCAACCCAGATCCACATTACTTTCGCATCGTAGCATGGCCCACCTTCCCAGCCCAAGTGGCGCACGTCCGCGGTTGCGTTGGCGGCCGCGCGCTGGGCTGAGCGCGCGCGCGTAGATCGGCGCGCAAGTGGCAGCTCGCGCGCGCGCTCTCGCGAGCTGCTCCGTCGCGCGCGAGCGCGGCGCGACGCACTGATGAGCGCGGGAGCCATGGCCGCACTGCAGCTGGGGGTGACGGCGCGAGTTGGCGGAGCACAGGCAGACGAAGCCGAACTCGTCGAGGTTGCGGCCCGCAGACGGCGCTCGAAAGGTGGCGCGGACAGAACACCGTAGCCGGCGCGCATCGGCCCCAGCAGCAGCAAGAAGAGGGCGCCACGGCATGGGACAGCGCGCCCGACACCCAGCACCATGAAACTTCGTATCTGGCGCTGGCGAACAAAAATGGGCCTCCCAAGGGCCCAATGCAGATCTAGATAGCGTGGGAGAAGGAGGGGAAGATTTGCCCAACCAATTTGTTACTGCACTGCAGCACACGGCACGCGCACTCTTCGACGCAGTGCCAACGCGTGAGAAACAACACCGTCGGTCCCTGGTCCGCGGGCATACGCGTGCATATGCGCGGGACAGCCTGTCCGGCCGAGCACGGCCGCGCGCGCGGGGCGCACTGGCCTGTCTCAGAGCCTCTGCGCTGATGCTTTTCAAACAGGCAGGTCGTAATCGCGCGAACCCGAACTGGCGTTGCCTGCTGGCAAACTGTTTAAATCGCTCTGACAGGTGTCCTGGCCGCGCGGCCGATGATTCTTGGGAGGAGCGTTGCTTCGAATTCGTCGGGAGCGCAGGCAGAACGCCCCCGCGGTGGAGATCGCGCTGCCATCAACGTCCACACAAAGCCCATGATATCCAAGACGGTGGTGTGCGCCGATTGAAATTGGCGCAGTCAGAGCCGATGTCATGGCTGTAGCGCCGCCTGTCGCAGTCGACGGCGTGGTCGTCGTCGTTGTTGCATCAGCTGTAGTCGACGGCGTCGCCAGCGTCGTTGTCGCAGGAGCTGCG